TGCATGTATGCATGTATGCATGTATGCACGCATGCATGCATGCATGCATGCATGCATGCATGCATGCATGCATGCATGCATGTATGTATGTATGTATGTATGTATGTATGTATGTACGCATGTATGTATGTGTATATCCTTCGTGGCTCCGGCATAATTTTCTGTGACATGGAGACATTGGACCCTGGACCCTAGAACCGAAACTCTTCCCTGGATGCAACAACTACCTGGGCCGAGGAAGACGGAGAGTTAGGCACAACACGGACGCAGCTGGAACCTCAGAGCCCAATTTAGGGGCCTTCTGACTTACTCATCGTATTCCTACTTCCTAGCGTCCTTAATATAGATACTGCATGAGATACACCAAGACCTTATTCTGATTTGTAGTTAATGCCAGCGGCCTATGGAACTTGGTCAGTATTTGGGTCACTTGTGAACTGGACATAGGTTCGTGTGGGATTTGGAGTCCTGCCTCGGGTTTAGGGTGTGATGTCGTTCTGGTCTCGCAGGTGCAAGCATTCGTAGAAGCCCCAAGACTGTTTTCTAAGCACAACTCAGGCCCGTCGTAGCCGCAAACCTTATTCTAGTTTGCATGTGCTGGACCCTTAAAGGAACCCGGTTCGAAATCAATCTTAAGGCCACTCTAACAGGCCAAGAAGTTGCCTGAGCGTTTCGTGTTTAGGTCTTAAGCTGAGGGCTTCAAGCGTTTATGGTTTAGGGTACGGAGTTCAAAGTTTTAGCAGTTTAGCTTTTCCCGCTGGATGCCGAAAGCAATATCATAGATTGAAAGAACTAACGAAACTCTTAAGATTCCGCTTTTAGGTTCGTTGTGCTAGCAAAGTGGGCTTCCAAGCTGCGCATCAGCTGATCGGCTAATGCACGGTTTTGGGCCCAACAGCCAGGCACGCTGTTTAGGTTAGAGTGGAATAATGTAGGGGGCATGTATAAGTAAAATAGGATTTGGGGGGTTACTTAATTATTAAAATTATAGTTAGTATAAATTACTCCAAACCCTATTGCAATCATTAAGGCCCCTATATTATCCCAAAAAGCCCTTTCAGATAAGTAGTGCACCCTGAAACTGGTAGGGCTTAGGGGCAAGCTTCTAGCGTTTGGGGGGTTTAGGGTTTAGGGTGTAGGTTTTTATGTTGTAGTCTCGGTAGTAGAGTTTAGGGAAAATTCGCCTGGCTTTTGCCAAGACCTTATCTTCACGACCCTGAGACCTATGCCCAGACCCTCATCTTGGCATCATGAACCTGTTGAGATCCCAGTATAAATTCAGCCTCAACCCCCTCCCAGCTCCCACCCCTGTTGCCCAGCACCCTCAACCTTAAACCTAAACTTTAGACTCTTGTCCCTTCCGAACTCCCTCCCCCCCTCCCCCCCCACCCACCCCCAGCCTCCCGGCCCGCCTGTCGTCGTTGCGCCGCGTCAGGCATAGTGCTCTCATCCCGGACTCACTTCTTTCTTCCTTCGACCCCGGCTTCTGGGCTGAGAATGTTCATATTAGGGCTTAGGGTTTAGGGTTAGGGTTTTGGTTTAATCGTTTGGGGTTTGGGGTTTAGGGATTATCAGTTTAGAGTTTAGGGCTTGGGTTTAGGATGTTGGTGCTCTTGATTCAGACATTCCCAGACCTTCCAGTATCCCATGATCACGGAGTATACTTTAAGTTAGTAGGATCCCTATCATGAGTTAAGGTATGTGCCTTAAACTATGGGATTTTGGAAGGTGTGGGTTGCTAACATACAGATTCCGTGGTGCAGCGTGGTAGGGAAGGCCTGTTGCGCTTCTGATCTCCATGGTTGCAATTGGGGCTCAACAGGTGCTAGTCATAAATCTCCCACCAAAAACCAACCACAAAACTGCTGTCCTAAACCCAACTACCTATTGATCGGGGTCCTGCGGACCCGAATACATCCTAAATCCCTTTAAGACCGCCCCCACAGAAACCCCGAAAGAGGCTCCCTGGAACTTCGAGCTCAAGGGTTGTCGCTACCCTGAACCGACGCCCGAAACCCTGGACCCTTATTGAGCCCTTACGGGACCCTGACTGGGTCCTTCTGGCCCTTAGGTGTAGGTAGTTGGCGAAACTTCTGTCCCTCCCAGAATTCTTCGGCATCAAGTGGGAGGAAGTTTACAATGCGGCTGGGCCCGATCTCTGGGGTTGAGGTTAATTGCTCGGAACTTCGGGCCCGAACTCAGGGCGGTGTAGGCTTTAAGGGCTTCGGGGTTGGCCCAAATGGCTGGAAACGGAGCCACGTCAGTCCACCTACTACTGCCTCGAAATTCTAGCTTTCACCAAAACTGTAAGAACTCTCAAGCCCCGAGATACTGGGCTAGTTGATTTTCTGGCACGCTTGGATTCCCCCGAATCGTGCCTCCTTGATCCCTGCTGGTTTCTGGCGTTGCCTGCTCTAGCAATCAACGTTTATAGCCACGAAACTTTCGGTTTTGGACGCTTTCGAGTTGCATATCCTAAAACCTAAACCCTAAACCCTGAACCTTAAGCCCCAAACCTAGAATCCCAAACCCTAAACCCAAATCCCGAATCCCTAAACCTTACATTGCCGGGAGCTCTAGCACAGCCGCAGCGGCGACGAGAAGCTTCGCAAAGCCGAACCCCGAGATCCGGGAACCGGGAGATCCTCCCGAGCTTCCCCAAACCTTGAAGCCCCTACAAGGGTTTAGGGTTTAGGATTCAAGGTTTGTAGGGTTTAGGGTTTAGGATTTAAGGTTTGTAGGGTTTAGGGTTTAGGATTTAAGGTTTGTAGAGTTTAGGGTTTAGGATTTAAGGTTTATAAAGGATTACAAGGTTTGGGTTTAGCGTTCAGGATTTAAGGTTTAAGGTTTAGGATTTAAAGTTTGGGGTTTAGCATTCAGGATTTAAGGTTTAGGGTTTAGGGTTTAGGGCAAAAGATCGAAGCCCGAATACTCCAAAGCCCCTGAAAGGGTTTAGGGTTTCGGGTTTACCTATAGTCTTCATTGTCGTTCCTTGTTTGGGTTTAACCCATTTCATAAGTAGGATCCTGTAAGGTAACCCCCAAAAAGGAACTACAATGGAGACGAGGGGTCCTGTCGCATTCCCATCCTTGATGACATTGCTTTGGGTTTGGGGTTTGGGAGTTTCGGGTTCAGGGTGTAGGGGGGTTCAGGGGTTTAGGTCTTGGGGGTTTAGGGACCCTAAACCCTAAACCCTAAACCGTTTGGGGGTTTAGG